CGCTGGCCTTCTTCCGACCGCGGCTCCGCATCAAAGTTGTCGACTGTCAACACTTGGTACGCGCGGCTCACAATCGCCATCGACGCCGGGTCCGAAATCAACTTTTGCAGTTGAGTAATGGCATATTCATGGGTCGATTCCGGCGCGATGAAAAATGCATTTTGCTTGAGAGGAGTGTCGTTGATGATTTTGGCAAGGGCTTCTTGTTTCGACAGGACCTTCTTGAGATGGTTGAGTACTTGTTCAGTCGTGTCGGTGACGCGGTAGAGTGCGCGCTGGAACAAGATGGAGTCCTCCTTGACGCCCTTGGGGGTGTCAACGATTGCTTTCATCATTTCGGCGCTGGCCGTGCGCAACGCGTGCAAGTTGGCCACATTCAACGCCTTCAAGATCGTCTTGTTGGCGACACACTCTTCGATGAATGCAAAGCATGAGTCTAAGTCAGCGTGCGCGTCGCCGAGGAGCTGACTGACGACACGGGACGTAAACTTGTACGATCCTAGACATGCCTCGACACGCAAGTCGTCCTTCTTTAGGCGGTTGCGCATCGACGCTTCGACCTTTTCGAGGGCTGCATCCTTCTTCTTGTCACTCTTGAGACGTTCGTAGACGACACCACAGTCCGTGATGATCTCGAGGGATTCGTCCAACTTGCCTGCAGTCAGAAACACAGGCGTGTACAACCGGCGCTCCGACTTGTCCTTGCTCTCGATCAAGTAGCTGAGGACGCTCAGTTCGCGGTTGCTGATCACGTCTGCCTCGCGCATGCTCTGCAAGCACCGGTTCCATGCCAACGCGAACGGAATCACACGATTGAATTCTTCACCGCCGATGCCCGAGACGGACCCGAACGTGCGAATGGACGAGCTGGATCCGCTTCCATGGGTCAGAAGCGGTCCGGCCGCAGAGCCGTCGCTGGGCGTGTTATACGTCGTGGTTTGAATTTCCAACGCCTTTTTCTCGACGTCTGCCTTGGGCTTCCCGTTCTTCTTGTCTTCGAGCTTTTGCTTGTGCAGCGCGATCTCGACCGCGTTTTCCACGAGCTTTTTGTTGAACATTTTGGGGATGAGCTTGAAGGATTGGCGAAGGATGCGGAACGACCGGAGCTCGCCGATACGGAGGTTGAACCCACGAATGGACCCGAACACGACCGAGAACATGGCGTAGAAGATCTGCGCATCGTACATGAACACGACAAAGGCAGGAAGCCACAAGAACGCGATGTAAAGGATGTTGTGGTACGACGCTTGAATCATAAAGTTGGACACCTTGAGGTACTGCAGCGGGTCCGACATCCAAATCATCAACGACGTCTCGACCAAGTTCTTGACCATAAAGTTGTACCCGAACATGATCTTGACTGAAAACAGAAACAGCCAGAAGCACATGTAGCGCAAGAAAGCCGTGATCGGGACGGGCAAGTTGCGACCGACGTACCCGATAAACATGCCGGAGAAGAGGCGGTTGTTGACTTCGCCAACCAAAAACACGACAAACAAACTGGCGGCACCAGCAAAGATGAGCGGGCCCATGTCAGTGCGGGTAAAGTCGAGGAATTGCGTGAGCAAGACAGGGAGTTTCGTCGGGATGTCCGCCGTCGGGAACGAGCACACGCCGCAATTGAGTAAACCCGGACCAGCCTGGTTAATTACGTTGTACGCGGCCTTCTTCCAATCGGGCATGCACTTTTTCTGGTCGTACTTGACATTTTGGAACGTGCGAAGATCGCCCGACGTCGAGTCGACAATGGCGCGACCGGTGCCCGTTTGCTTGAAGCAACGGTCCAAAATGTCCAAGTAGCACGTGCATCGCCCCGACAACATTTCCACACACGGCTGGAAAGGAACATCCGCGATGAGCATCTTGAAGTCCTGGGGAATGACACCGAAAGTGATGCCAGGCACGTAGTCCGTCACACCCAAACACGTAGCGAGTTTTGGGAGGTTGCATCCACTTTCGACGTCCGGGATGTTGTCGCCGTTGGTCAAACCGTAGTCGACGCGGGGGTTGAAGTACTTTTTCCCGAAGAGTGTCAGTTCCTTGCCCATGTCCGGGCCGTACATGATGGGGCTCTCCGGACACAAGAGTACCATGTTGAGCGCAAACCCGACGACAGCCAGGAACAGCGTAAAATTGAAGAGGAAGATGCGGCGGAACGACCACAGAGCACGCACCCACGACCGCGTTTCGATGAACGTCTTCTTGGCGTCTTTCGGGTTGCCTTTCTTGTCGACGGCTCCGAGAGCTTCCTTAATGTTGTACGCGTCGAACGCCAGACACTTTTTCGTCCAGAAGAACTCGTTGAAGTCGTCGTAGTTTCGAATTTCCTTGTGAGGCGCGCGTTGCCCGAGCGGCGTCTTCTTGTCGTTATCTTTCTTGACTTCGGCGTAGATGGGGCGAATAACCGTAGAGAGGTACGCGCCAGTTTCCTTGGGAGCGTCCGTAGGCTGTGCCTTGGGGCACAAAGAATGAAACAGAAAGCAGAGGAGTTCTGGTGTTTGACGGAAGTTGCCAGCTTCGCCCCACATGAGGAAGAAGAGCACGAGGTCCGCAAGAGGCTCCTTGGAGAATGATGGTTGTACCTTGAGGTACTTGCACCACTTGTTGTAGTTGTCGAAAAGGCGAGTGTGCAGTTTGGCGACTGCTTGAACCGCGGCGTCATCCTCGTCCTTGGGCAACTCGACGACCTTGTCCTTAATGCTCTTCTTCACCTTCTCCGTGTAGGCTTCTGGCACAGGAGTCTCCAAACTTTCCTTGTAGTTGGTCAAGAGCAGCAGCAAGTGTTCCTTTTGGTTCTTCACGTTCGTTTCTTGGAACCCAAAGATCTTTTGCATGGATGCAAAGATGTCGCCGTGGACGGGGGATGTCGTCAGGAGCTTCGTGACTGGTGCGTACCGCTCGGGCAAGTTGTCCAAGTCCAAGATGTTGAACTTGGCAGACGAGCTTTCCGGCGATTTGGCATGCTGTCCCTTGATCATGTCAAGGTAGCGCCCCATCTTCTTTGTCAATCGCGTCGACGCATCTTGGTCTTCATGCGAAAACTTGAGGGCAAGGCCCTTTGTCAACACTTCCACGGCGGCCGAAAAAGCCTTCTCTGCGTCTGCTTGGTTGTTCGCGCTCTGCGCAGCAACTCCAGCGTTGACGTGAACCATGGCTTCGTCATAGATCGCCTTCTGCGCTTCTAACGCTGGACTGAGCGGCGGCGGCGCCGACGAACTCATTGCTCCACTTCCCAGCCACTTCGAAAGTGAGGGGCGCGCATCCTTGACAGGCGTTGGGGCATCCGGATAAACCGTTTATCCCACACATTGCCACTCTCGCCCATGTTTTTGAATTTTCATACTAACATGGTTCAAGTGTCAAAAAAATCGATGCGCGATCGAAGGGTACTTCCCACAGAGGACCGAGAAAGGCCATTTTGGATACTATACGTATACTGAAATCAAGATAAAATTAATCAATGAGAAGTCCTCATTGACACGGAAAACCAAGAGCGACCGACCTGCCAGACATTCCTTCACGACGAGAGTTTGGACTCCTGGTAGCCACACAATGCTTGGTCATGAGCGTGAAGTCTACGACGCCGATGCAACTGGATAGAATAGCTCCGTCCTATGTTGTTGTGGCGCGTCGGCGGGCTGCTAAGTGGGACTGTTTTCCACCACAGAAATATGTTGGCTCTGATCAGGTATACAAATATCGAGCTAAAGGTGATAGCCGATACAAACTTTCTCTACATTTCAGGCTCAAGCGTCAGACGCCGCCAAGTTGTTTAGATTTCTTTGGGTGGTTGACTCGTGCATGGAATTATTTCCGACACACACAGACCTGCAGCTTCACGTAATTTTCAGGAACTTCAAGCATTCATTGAAGCCGATGCAACGGACGGAGCGTGGTGATGGCCAGAGCATTCCATGCCGTCAAGCATACACAACTTTAGACGGATTTTGTCAGCGAAGAAGCTGGCTTACTTCACAACAAAGTGACTCGGTCTATGAAGAAAAGATGACAGACCTTGTTGCACTGTGCTCCTAATGACGTCATCGATCCACAGTCCAAGACACATTCGCGAAAGGAATCATTCTATTAACTGCCATGTTGTACGACATATTACGAAGTATTCATGTCAATATTTTTTGTTTTGGTCAATTATCTTGGGAACTTTATGTTGTGTACAATTTAATTAATATGAAAATTACGTTTACGTGAATTTGACAAAAGATTTGTATATCCGAATCGAATAAAAAGTGATTTGTACATGTCTGGATCGTCACAAATCTAAACTGTAATACTACACGTGACGTACTACGTAGTACATATATACACTTGCGCATAATCACGAGTCCACCCTAGTAGCGAGGAAGAGTGGGCGCGCCGTCAGGGACACGGGCCCCATGAGATAGCAACCGTCTTGCTTTTGATGCGGGAAGGGCGGTTGGATTCGATGTACCTCCAGCGGTTTCACTCTGGGCAAACCGCCATGTCAACCACAACCTGTCGCTCTCTTCACATTTTCGCACACAAAGGTTCAATTACAACCTCACCAACTCAAATCCCAGGAGCTGTGTCGGTGGTACATACTGATTCGTGCACTTGTAGTAAACTTGAGCCCGTGCCATTAACAACGTATCGACTAGCTCTCTTCGAAACGATCGACTTTATCCGATATGCAAGGCAGAACACTGCCCCCTACCAGACGTACGCAGGAGAAACCGAGGGCGAATGAATCGCTATAGGCATAACGCTGCTTGAAAATGGACCTGACACCCAAAGTTGCGTGGAAATTGCTCCTCGAGCGCGAATATCTCGGCACGATTCCCAGTCAACAATCTTACTGTGGAAGTGTAACGGAACCGGACGCGTTATCCGGATGCTTCAGAGCAGTTTCAAGTTGGGATTGCATTCAGCAGTTGTAGCGTTCGTGTGCAGTCGACGCGGCGGCATGGCAACACCCGGCCCCGTTGCGTCCCTCGATGTACAGAGGAAGCTCCATGATGAAGCTATGGTGCATGTGAATGCGGGAGTTGCGGCACGGAACAGCGGCAACGCCGACCAGGCGGACCGATCGTTTGCCTTGGCGGTGGATTTGCTTGAGCGGGGGTTGGCGCTGAAGTTCACTCAAAGCGACGACGAACCTTCGATGCGTCTTGCAAAGAAGATGGCGAAATATCTTGAGATGATTCGAGGACAGACAGGTACGAAGTCAGGGGAAGGCAGTGGCGCTGTGTCAAGATCGACGAGGTACAACATTATTGACTTCGACAACCCGCCCGAGCGATACGCTCCGGTGTTGGCCCTTTTGCATTCGTCACCAATCCACGGGAATCTCTTCGATTCCATGAGAGCGATCTTTGGATTTCAGGACAACAACGTGAAGAACCAACTGGAGCACCTGACGCTGCTATTGACAAACTACAAGGAGCAGCTGGAGACCCCCGCTCCCGTCCCGGTCTACATTCCGGTCGAGAAGGCGTCGAAAAAACGGCCAGAGGATCAACTGCCCACAAATCCCAACGACGCCGCAGCCCAAGCGGTCAAGAAGCTGCACGCTCGCCTTTTTGACAACTACACGAAGTGGTGCAGGTATCTCCATGTCAAGCCCGCGTTCTCGACGACGGAACCTCTAGCTGATCTTGTCCTCTTCTTTCTTCTGTGGGGCGAAGCTGGTAACTTCCGCCAAACGCCCGAACTGCTTTGTTTCTTGTTCCACTCGCTGAGCGCGACGGCGCATCAGCCGTCGTCGACGCCAATGGAACCTGGAACCTTCCTCGCCACCGTCATCCGTCCCATCTACGACGAAGTGAAGATGGACAACGAGAAAAAGACTCCTCTCGGTGAACGTGCGCCGCACAAGGACATCCGCAACTACGACGACTTCAATGAATTCTTCTGGACGAAGAAGTGCCTCCAGTTCGATGCGTACAACATCCGAGACGCCCTCGGTGCGCGAGATACGAACAGAAACCCCAAGACCGCCAAGAAGACGTTCATCGAGACGCGGTCGTGGATGCGGGCGCTGTGGTCGTTCCGCCGCATCTTCGTCTTGAACTTTGTCCTGTTTTGCGCCACGGTCGGATTTGCAGTCAACATGGTGCTGCTGTGCCCCGAGAGTCCGATCATGTACGGCCCCGACCTTGGCAAGGAACTCGAGCTCTTTGGCAAATATTACTACAATCCAAAAGCTCGATTCAACTACCTCAACGACGCCAGCTCGACCACGACTGGTCCGTGCAACCTCCCCAAACTGTCGACATGCCTCGGTGTGTCCAACTTCGTCTTGGGGCAAACGTTCAGCATCATTCCACAGGACTTCAAGATGCTCATGGCCGACGTTCCGTTTCAGCCGTGCGTTGAGCTCTTGTCGGGACGATGCGCGTGCTACTTGGAGACGCTGGACAAGTGTTTTTCCCAAGTCGGCACGGGGAAGGCTCTCGTCGCGGACATCACGACAGGCAACACACGCGACTACAAGATTGTCACGTACAACCAGTCCAAGTGCATGCCGGCGTGGAAAAAGGCAGCGTACGCCGTGATCAACGACGCTGGCCCAGGGCTCCTAAACTGTGGTTTGTGCAACGTTCCAACGGTGGAGCTGCCGACTCGACTGCCAAAGCTGCTGGGGAAGATGGTCGATACGACCCGCACAGACATGGGTCCGATGGTGTTTGGCGGCGGTGTCGGCCTCGTCGGGTTGTTTTTGGTCGGCGATATCTTGAATCGGGTCGTTTCCGCCATGTCGACGGGGTTTGTCGGTCGCAAGATGCCCGTTCCGTGTTGCGGCTTTGTCCGGTACTCGTGTTTTTGGATGGTTCTCTTGATCGTCAAGCTCTACTTCGACTACACGTTCATGGTCAAGAACTTGGTCGAGACGTCGCTGATGATTTGGTTGTCCGACTCGACCAAGTACCTGCAAGCGTCCAACTTTATGCTTCAAGCAACATTCCACAACATCGTTTACATCGCGTTCTTGTGGCTCCCTGCGTTTATCGTGTTCATGTACGATGCACAGATCTTCTACGCGCTCTTCTCTGTCGTCGTTGGATCCATCCGCGGGTTCAACCTCCGTATCGGCGAGCTCCGTTCGTTCCGTATTCTGCGCCTCGCATTCAAGGACATTCCACGCATGTTCAACTACAAGTTGGTCGAGAACGCAATGGAAGCCAAGGCGTTCCAGCAAGCGATCGAGTCGAAGAAACACAAAACGAGCCGCCACGGGTCATGCGACGTCGGACCGGTCGAGACGCTGCGCATTCAAACGACGGCGTACTCATCCACAGCCCACGACGACGACACCGAAGATGGTTCGAGCACCAGTCGAAGCAATAGCACGGCATCCAGTCGGTATTTCGGATCGGTGACAGGCGTCGACGGTGACGAATACTTGCGTGTGATTCCGTTCGCCATGGCGTGGAATCGGTGCTTGAGCAGTATGCGCGAGGCGGATGTCCTGAGCAATCGAGAACTCGGTGTGTTGAGCTATCTCATCGAAGGGAACTGCAAAGACGAAGCCACGAGGCGGCTGTACCCGCCCGCATTTTTGACGGCTGGTAAGCTGGACGAGTCGCTCGATATAATTGCCGAGTGCGGTCAGGTGTATAAGCGCCTTCTGACGGACAAGAAGTCGGACGCGGCATTGAGCAAAGTCGAAAAGTCCATGCAGTCGCGTGTGAAGAAGGACAGTTTGCGAGTCGAAGCGTGCTTGGGGTCGTTCAAGTTCACCGTGCGCGTTGTCCAGCTCCTGTTAGGTGACGCCCATGCTGACATCGACCCGTGCTTTGCTTTCATGGAAGAATCCGTCGTCAACAAGACGGCGCTGAAAGCGCTGCACGTGTCCAACTTGTATGCGGTCCGATCCGCGAGCGCAGACTTGATGAAAGCCATCCTGGATGTTCCGAAAGGATCGAGAGACGACAGCTTGCATTTTCAGCGAGCCCTCTATCGTGTCATCGACTCGGCGGAGCAACTCCTTGGGCAACTCAAGAAACTCCTGTCCAAGCAGGACAACTTGGTCGCAATCCTGAACGCCACTGCACTCAAGCCGAACTCGTTCTTCATCGCACCCGAGTCTTCCCAGCAGTACGCGACGATCCAGATTCAAACCGTGATCTCGGACCCGGCGTCGATGGCGATTGTGAGCCGCGCGTACCAAGTGTTGACAGTCGACAACTTTGATGCGGAGCCGCGGTCGGAAGAAGGCCAGCGCCGCCTCCGCTTCTTTGCCAACTCGCTGTTCATGGAGATGCCGCTCGCCCAATCCATCAAACGCATGCACTCGCTGTCGATTGCGACGCCGTACTACAGCGAAATCGTGCTGTACTCGGTCAAGGAGCTGACGCAAGCGAACGACGACAGCATCAAGTTGCTGTACTACTTGCAAACGATCTACCACGTGGAATGGGAGCACTTTCTCGAACGGTTCAAGGTCAAGGACGAGGCGGAGGCGCTGGCCAAGGTGCCGGAAGAGGTGCAGCTGTGGGCTTCGTACCGCGGCCAGACGCTGGCCCGCACGATCCGCGGCATGATGTACAATGCGGAAGCGATCCGGTTCTTGTACTGGCTCGAGCTTGGGAACAACGAACCGATGCCGGAGCACGCGAACAAGGAGCTGGACGAGATGGTCGCGCTCAAGTTCAACTACGTCGTGACGTGCCAAATCTACGGCAAGCAAAAGGAGGAAGGGAAGCAGCAGGCGGGGGACATTGACTACCTTCTCAAGAAGCACCCGGGTCTCCGCGTCGCGTACGTGGACGGTCCGAAGAAGATGAAGGAGGGGCCGCCCAAGTACTTTTCGTGCTTGGTGCGTTCGTCCAACGACAAGATCGTCGAGGTGTACCGCGTCGAGCTGCCGGGGGACCCGATCATCGGGGAAGGCAAGCCGGAGAACCAGAACCACGCCGTGATTTTCTCGCGCGGCGAGTTGATCCAGTGCATTGACATGAACCAAGACGGGTACTTGGAAGAGTGCTTGAAGATGCCGAATTTGCTTGCGACAGTGGACCGTCCAGAGCACGCCAAGAGTCCGGTCACGATCATCGGGTTTCGCGAGTATGTGTTCACGGGGGGCGTGTCCAACTTGGCGAGCTTCATGCAGATCCAGGAGCTGTCGTTCGTGTCGTTGGGCCAGCGCATGCTGGCGTACAATTACGTGCGGCAGCACTACGGCCACCCGGACATTTTTGACAAGTTGTTTGCGATGGGGACGGGCGGGACGGCCAAGGCGTCGCGCGGGATCAACTTGTCGGAGGACATTTTCGCCGGGTTCAACTCGACGTTGCGCGGCGGCCGCGTGACGCACGAAGAGTTTATCCAGGTCGGGAAGGGCCGCGATGTCGGGATGCAGCAGCTGGCGCTGTTCGAAGCCAAGTTGTCGTCGGGGGCAGGCGAGTGTGTCACATCGCGCGACGTCATGCGGATGGCAAACCGCCTCGACCTGTTCCGTCTGCAGTCGTGGTTTTACGGGAACCTCGGGTGGTACTTTACGCAGACCATGACCGTGTTTGGCGTGTACTTTTTCATCTACGGCAAAATCTACTTTGCGCTGAGCGGCATGGACGCGTTCTACCTCCAGCTCGGCCGCCTCGGCATCAGCGGCGTCCTCAACACGTCGTGGGCGCTCCAGTTTGGGTTCCTTCTCGTCGTTCCAGTCATCGGAGTCGTGGGGGTTGAAAGCGGCTTTCGGCATGGGCTAACGTTTTTGGTGTGGAATGTTCTGAGCCTGGGCCCGCTCTTCTTCACGTTCCAAATGGGCACCCGCATGCACTACTTTGACCGTACGTTGATCCATGGCGGGGCCAAGTACCGCGCCACGGGCCGTGGGTTCACCATCAAGCATGAAAAGTTCGCCGAGCTGTACCGGTTCTATGCCTTCAGTCACTTCTACCGCGGCGTAGAGCTCATGTTCCTGCTGTGCATGTTTGCCGTGTACGGGACGTTCAACTGGTGCAATTGCTCGTGGACGATTGACCGCACGTTCTACAACGACCAAGAGCCGCTCGCGTACGAGTGGAATGCGCGCTGCTACGCCAATTTTTACCAGCAGTGCGTGCTCCCAACGAACCAAAACTACGGCATCATGAGCTACTCGCTGTGGCTGATTGCCGCGACGTGGGTATGGGCGCCGTTCTTCTTCAACCCAAGCGCGTTCGACTGGGACAAAATCATAGCAGACTACCGTGACTGGCAGCATTGGCTGCTTACCAAGAACGACTCGGCCGACAGTTGGTACGGTTGGTGGATGGCCGAGCTCGAGTTCATGGAGCACTCGACGTGGTTTTCTCGCTTCGTGATGTTTGTTCGCAAGACAAGGTTTCTGCTCGTTGCGTTCGGCATCTACTTACAGCTGATGAACCGCTTGTTTTACACCGACCTCCACAAGACTGTCCTGGACGATGGGCCGACGTCGTTGAAACCCATCATCCTCGCAGGTGCCATTTTTGTCGTCCTTGCTCTGCTGGGGTGCTGCGGGTACATCTCCAGTCGTGTGACCAAGAAGTTGACGCTCAAGCAGCGAGAACTGCGCAAACTCAAATTCAACCTGTCCGTTGTGCTGTTCGTGGTGATCCTTGTAGTCCTGCTGTACCTGTCGCTAAAGACCCTCGCCGAGGTGCTAGTCATTTCGTGCTTGGGCGCGTACTGGTTCCTACAAGTAGCGATCTGCCGCGTGCGGCACGACCACATTGTGGCAACGAAGACTGCCCAATTCTTCGACAACGTCGTTGGTTGGATCGTGTTCAGCCCGATCCTGTTTGTGGCGATGTTTGTTCCGTTCCTCTCGTCCTTCCAGCAACGCATGATGTTCAACAGCGCTTTCACGGCCGGCCTTGAAGTGTCGAAGCTCCTCGGGAACGATGTCGTCGCGAGGGACGACAGGAAGGCCAAGTCCACCAAGAAGAAGAAGCAGTCCGATCTTCACAAGTTGTAATGTCATCGGTGTCTAGTCAATTCCACCAATCATTCGACTCCAATCGATTTATTTCCACCAATTATGTGCTATTTTTCATGGATTTTCCTCCAATCTCGTGATGACACTAGTCATATCCGCCCCACGATCGTTCAAAACCTCACATTGCAAGTTGTGATAAGATGGGAGTGCTCCGCGCAGTGGGCTGGACCATCGGCGTCATAGCGACGGTGGCGTCGCTCGTCGTCATCGGCTACATGGCGGCGGAGCAGCGAATGGATGCTATCCGCAAGTACGGCATGGTTATCCATGAGTTCGATCCGTGGTTCAACTTCCGCGCTGCGGTCTACTTGGCCGACAACGGGTATGAGCGCTTCTTCAAGTGGTACGACTACATGTCATGGTACCCTCTCGGTCGACCTGTCGGCACGACGATCTACCCTGGTATGCAGATTGTGTCGGTGACGGCATGGGAGCTCCTCAACAAGGCAGGCATCTCGATCTCGCTCAACGACGTGTGTTGCCTTACTCCCGTGTGGGGTGGTGTCTTTGCCACGTTGACGTTGTCTGCGTTGACGTACGTCTGCACTGGTCGCGTCACTGCGGCGCTTGTCAGCGGTTGGGTCATGTCGATTATCCCTGCGCACTTGATGCGGTCCGTGGGTGGCGGATACGACAACGAATCCGTGGCCGTGTCGTGCCTCTTGCTGACATTTTTGTTCTGGTGCGTCTCGTTGAAGTCTTCCGACGACTCGAAGGCGACGTATGTCGGAGTCTTGACGGGCCTGGCATACATCGCGATGGCCGCGACGTGGGGCGGGTACATTTACGTCCTCAACATGATTGGCCTGCACGCGTTTGTGCTGGTGCTTCTCGGTCGCTACTCCAACAAGCTCTACTGGGCTTACTCGATCTGGTACATTATCGGCACGATCGGGGCCATGCAAGTACCCGTCATTGGCAAGGCGCCGCTGCGCTCGCTTGAACAACTTGCCCCTCTCCTCGTATTCTTCGGTTTGCAGGGACTCAAGATCTGCCACCACCCCGTCTTCCTCAAGAAGGTGTTCAACATCGACGCCGCCAAAGCCACTCGCGCCAACATGTTCCTCGTGTACAGCGTCGTCGCTGGTGTTGGCCTTGCCATTCTCGCTGTTGTCGTCCAAATGTTGTGGCCCACGGGGTACTTCGGCCCGCTCTCTTCTCGCATCCGTGGTCTCTTTGTCCAACACACCCGTACCGGCAACCCCCTCGTGGACTCTGTTGCCGAGCATCAACCCGTCAAGAACGACGCGTTTTGGCAATTTTTGCACGCCACTTGCTACACGGCACCTGTGGGTCTGGCCATCGTGGTCGGCCAGAGTGTGTTGAAGCCATGGATCTCTGGCAAGGATGCCCGGTCGGATCCGCTCACGTTCGTAGTTGTGTACTCTGCCGTGACTTATTTCTTCTCGACCAAGATGAACCGACTCATGTTGCTCATGGCCGGCCCTGCCTCTATCGCGACCGGCGTCGTCGGCGGATATGCCCTGGACTTTGTCTTTGCAGAAACGGCAGACCTCGTGCAAGCGATAGTCGGTGACGACGGCACGCCCGTCGACGTTGCGGCGGAAGCAAAGAAGGACGATGACAAGAAGGCCAAGAAGAAGGCCAAGGCGAAGGAAGCTGCGGTCGACTCGCCGTCCACAATGTCCAAATCGTACAACTCTGGCACGGTCAAGCTTCTTCGCAAAGTTGCCGCGACTGTGTTGGTGGCGGTCTCGTATCAGTACGTCGTGCAGTTTTACCAGTACACGCAAATGATGAAGGCGCCGCTCTCTGGGCCATCCATCACGTTTGAAGCTCAATTGCGCTCGGGTGAAAAGATTATCGTGGACGACTACCGCGAAGGCTACCACTGGCTCAGGGATAACACGCCCCAAGACGCCCGTGTCATGGCATGGTGGGACTATGGCTACCAAATCACGGGCATCGGCAACCGCACGACGATCGCCGATGGAAACACGTGGAACCACGAACACATTGCGCTCTTGGCGCGGTGCTTGACGTCGCCGGAGAAGCGCGCACACAACCTCATCAAGCACCTTGCCGACTACGTCCTCATCTGGGCCGGTGGCGGAGGTGACGATTTGGCCAAGTCTCCTCATTTGGCTCGCATTGGGAACAGTGTATTTGAGGACATTTGCCCGGGCGACCCAGTGTGCTCGAATTTTGGGTTTTACTCGCAAAACAACCCGACTCCCATGATGAAGAAGAGTCTGCTCTATCGGCTGCACCAACACGGCATCAACCCCCAAGTGAACGTCGACCCGAACCGGTTCCGCATGGTGTTCCAGTCGAAGTACGGCCTCTTGCGCATTTTCAAAGTCGTGGGTGTGTCGGACGAGTCGAAGAAGTGGATTGAAGACCCAGCAAACCGCCTCTGCGACGCCCCCGGGTCGTGGTACTGCACAGGCCAGTACCCCCCGGCGCTGGCCGACACCCTTGCCAAGCGCAAGTCCTTCAAGCAAATCGAAGACTTCAACATTGCCCAGGACGAAAAGTCCAAGAAGTACCATGAAGAGTACCTCAACCGCATGGAAGGCAAGGCGGCGTCGGCGAAAAGCGGAGCGGTCCCTGTCTCGGATGACGACGAAGACGAAGCGAGTCCGCTGCCGCCGACCAAGATGGTGGGCTGCTACGGCACCGAGAACAGCTTTGAACAAAAGACTTACGTGGGCGGCCAGTCGGGCGCGTACTACGGCCATGCTCTCCATCACGCGGTCGAAGCCAAGGCCAAGTACTTTGCGATCGCACGTGGCGACCATGATGGCCACTCGTTTGTGTTTCACAAGCTCAAGTCGACCGGCAAATGGAAACACTCGAAGGACTGCGAGCGACCGTGCTTGGACGATGGCTCCAAGGCGTGCGGGTGCATGGACGGCGCGTGCACGGAGCCCAAGATGGACGGCGAGGAACACAACCGTCGCTGGATCGTGTACGAAGTGTTGAAGATGTAATCGAGCTAGGTTTCAAGCACATTTTTACTTGGTTTGTCGTGGGAAAATGTGCATGCGAACACAGAGCTGCGTGATCGATGGCACCACGCGGCCGACCTTATCAAGGTGGCGTCATCGTTTTCGAGTCCTCCTGAAGCTGTGGAACGCATGTACTACACATGACTGCGGTTCGACGCATTGGCATTAGCTCGCTTAGAAGTCGCCACCCGTGTCAGCCCCAAAGAACCCCATTCCCCCCCCGCCGTCTCCAAACCCGTCATCGTGGTGGTGGTGATGATGATGAAACCCGCCATCGCCAGCGTCCGCGAGCATTTCACCAACGAGCATGCCTTGGACGAACGCATTGTTCCCGTATACTGCACCCGGATATTGCGGCATCACGACGGGCTGCGGAGCGACCACGGCAACCCCAGGTTGCTGCATAGGGTAGCCGGGTTGCTGCATGGGGTAGCCGGGTTGCTGTATGGGATAGCCGGGTTGCTGCATAGGGTAGCCATTTTGCTGCATGGGGTACCCTGGTTGCTGGATGGGGTACCCTGGTTGCTGCATGGGGTAGCCGGGTTGCTGCATGGGGTAGCCGGGTTGCTGCATGGGGAAAATAGGTTTCTGCACGCTAGAGCCTGGTTGCTGCACGGGGTAGCAAGGTTGGGCGACGGGCATAGCCAGAGGGATGGGCTGGGTCTGCGTGACTGGGGCAGCAGCACTGATTTTCGGAGGGCGCCCCATGTTCAAGCAACACATCGCTTGGCAGGTTTTTTTGCACACGAGGCATGCGATGCAGATGACGATGAGGAAGACGACGCCTCCAATGATGCCGCCGATCGTCCCGCCGGTGGCACTTGTGCTGGTGGTCACTGCGTTCGTGTCGCAATTGCATGCGTAATTTGTGACGATGCACTTGGCGCCAGTCGGGCAACAGCAACCCAGCTTGACCAAGCCCGAGAGCCAATGGCCGCAAAAGATGCCGGGAGTGTTTCGAAAGGCCAAATCGCACTTTTGGTTGAGCTCGCACTGTTGGCACCCCGTGAGAGTCGCTGAGGTCGTCGTTGGCGCTACCGTCGAAGGCGTTGCAGCTTCAACAGCCAGGACGAGAAAGACGCTGGCTAGCACCGCCCATCGCCCTGCCATGATGGATTTTTGGGAAGTGCATGCAATTCACTCTGCTATAAATAGTACGGTTGATAAGAATATGTACCGCCCGGTTCTCGCCCGGTGCGCGCGCATGGCCGAGGAGACGAGCAGGCGATCAATCAGCGCCGCTGCCTATAATAATATTTATAATAATAAATTAATTATATATTTCTAAAGGTATTATTAAAAAATATATATATAATGAATTTAAAATAAAATATTTTTCTAAAATTCAACGACGTGCCTAGCGCATGGCATCCCAGTTGTTGCTCGTTGTCCGCAGTGGTTCGTTCTTGAGTGGCTGCCATGGATACAATTAATCTAAACGAATTAAACATTATCGATCTCGTGTGGAGGAAAGTATATACTTTAATCAAGTCTATTCTTAAGTATACTTGACCTTATTACCGACATGCGAATCGCACGTCAGCAGGCCGAAATAATAAAAAGAAAAATGCCATTTGTCATTATATTTGCTTCAAGTTGAGCCTCGACGTGCGATTCGCACGTCGAGAAGAGCCAATCACAGAAATTCAGAATAAAATGGTCCTTCTTTAAATTTTCTGTCCGGCTCTCGAAAGAGATGGTTTACGGACAAATTCCATCCAATAGAAAGCATTCGAATTGCCATGAATCGTCCTTCGTACTCGGCGCCTTATTGGTTCATTTTCAAATTTTCAAAGGGACGATTTGGAATTTGAAGAAACCGTTGCAACGGTGCATCGCAAATTTGCACTGCTGGACGCACATCTCTGCCGCTGTCAGCCGCCGACAGCCACCGAGTGCCGCAGACTGCCACCGAGTGCCGCCGATGGACACGTGTGCAGTTTGCAAGGAAGGGTTCGGCGACGTTGTTGGCCGCCAATGTCGGTGTGTCCCGCCAAGTTCCACCACATGTGTGCGATCGATCCATCTTCAAGAATGCGTTGGCCTGAAGCCGCTGAAGGGGAAGAAGCCTGCAGTGTCGAGTGTCACCAACTGTTGGCTGTACCGCCGCCGTCTACCTGCAGATCTCCGCCTATCGGCCTGAAGAAGAGATGCATGAAATGTCAGCATTGGAGAAGAAGATCCTCAACGACGTCGAGGACATGACAGAAGAGGACGAGCTGTGCGAAGGCGGCTCGCCGCCTGGTGACGCCGGCGATGTTGGCAGCAGCGATGACTAGTGGCCTGAACAAGTCGACCGAGGATGGAAGAAGAAGGGGTCTTATGAAACCACAGAAGACATTGAAGACGTTGACAACGTGGATTGGGAGTTAGGTGCACACTTCGATGGCCCTCGTAATCTGTTCGAGCATGGCGACGGTGGTCCCGACGACGAGTTGCGCGTTATCGACGAATTCAAGGACATATTCAAAGACCCGGTCAAGGTTTTCTTGGCGTTTATGCCTTTGGACTACTGGAAGAGCGTGGTGAAGAAGACCAACGACAAGGCCATGGTTCTGTTGGCCGCTCACGCCAAACGCTTTGTCGGCGGCCGCGAATGGAAGAATCCCTTTGACCTCGCCGAAGTCATGAAGTTCATTGGCTTATTGGTGATGATGAGTGTGGTCCGTGGTGGCGAGTACAGCCTGTATTGGTTGAACCCCAGCATGTCGTTTCTCATGCTGAACGGGGAAAACTTCGGGAAGGTCATGCCGATCAACAGATTCAAGCAACTGCGAGCATGTATTGCTTTCAACGATGTCCCGGTGGCGAAGACCGCGGATGCAACGACAAAGTCTTACGTGAATCGACGCATTGGTGGCCAAACCACACGACAAGAGTGCCTTTCGCTCGTTGGAAGATACAACATGTACATGCAAGGGGTCGACCGACACGATCAATTGCGGGAGCGCTTCTCGATTGGCTCGGGTGCAAGCTTCAAGCATTGGTACGGCAAACTCGGGTTCGCATTGATCGACATTGCCATTACGAACTTGTTCGTGCTATGGTCGCTTAGCGATCGAGTCAACCGCAGCGATGCCCACATGTACTTCCCAACAAGACTAGCCAAACAAATGCTGTTCGAAATTGATTGGTCATTGTTTTCGGCACCCAAGCGCCGATGGAATACTCCAACGTGTCCATGGTGCAGTCGGCGACCGCGTTGAAGAAGGCGGCGGCCGAAGCCAAAGCTGCAGTATTGCGGCTTAGTGCTTCGTTGCTGCCGCCAGCGACGTCTCCCACCCAAGATTGCGGCCGAGGTGTTGACTTACAAGCCGACATTGTCTACAAGAGAACAGTATGCAGCGTTATTGCGCTGAATGTGCATTCGAACCGAACTTTTGCGTGATCAAGACG